GGGTTTCCCCTCTTGGCCGTTGAGAATGCGGTATCGCGGCCGGGAGGATGCCTCCCGGCCGCTGCCGTGGGGTGGGGGTTGATTTGGTTTATCGACCCCCAAACCCTGGTCGGTTTGGGAGGATCGACTCCCAAACCAACCGGGGGTTTTTATTTTTTTTTTTATTAAATTCTTAGGGAGTCGACTCCCAAACCGGTCGACGGTTTTGGGGGATCGACTCCCTAATTTCGGGGGTTTCGGGGTTTGGGAGTCGACTCTCCAATTTTGGGGAGTCGATTAACCAAGCCCCAGAAAAGATAACATTTCAGCATTCGGTTGTTGAAAGTGAAGATCATGAACAGCCTTCAATGGTTCTAATAGTTCAGCCATAACAAACTTATCCTTCAATGAAGTTGATTCCGGAATTGTCGGTCGACCAGCCACAAAATCTTCTCGACGACTAGGAGCATCCGCCGGATTGCGCTTGCCTGAAATATGGTAAATTAACATGTTAAAATTGTCTAAGTAACACGCCCAACGCGCCTGTTTTGGAGATAAATATTTAGCTGTCTTGAAGTACATCAAATTAGAATGATCAGAAAATACTTTAACTGGTTCATCTGTTCCCATTAACCAAGCTCGCCAATCTTCAAATGCTGACACAATAGCCAACAATTCTAGATCAAATATAGGCCACGATCGTTCCCTGTCTGTCAGCTTACGAGAAAAATAACTAACAGGTCTATTGTTGTTATCAGCATCTGGTTGACTCAAAACAGCCGCTATAGCATAACCAGAACTGTCCACGTGCACAATTTGAGGCTTATCAAAATTAAAATGCATGAGCAACGGTCCACAAACAAATGACTCTTTCAATTTACCAAAAGCGTCAGTCACCTCCGTCGAATGAAAATTCGTCAAAGGGATTTTCTTCGTTTTTGTCAAAGCCGTCAATGGTCCTGCTATGCCTGAAAAATTCTGAATAAATCGTCTATAAAAATTAGTAAACCCGAGAAAACGTTGAAGTTCTTTGATGGAAGAAGGAAAAGGCCAATCATTAATTGTATTCAACTTCTTATTACTCATCTTCAACCCGTCCTTTGTAATATCGAAACCTAAAAATGTAACTTTGGAACAAAAGAATTCACATTTGTTTAAGGAAGCTTTCAGAGAAAATTCTCTCAACTTATTGAGTATCTTCCGCAAATCCGCAATGTGATCATCCTCTGTCTTAGAAAAAATCAAAATGTCATCGATATAAACAAAACAACATACGTCCAAATATTCTCGTAAAACGTGTTGAATAAAACGTTGGAAAGTTGCTGGCGCATTACATAACCCAAAAGGCATAACCTGATATTCAAACAAACCCCATGGCGTACGAAAAGCCGTTTTCCATTCATGACCTGGCGCAACTCTTAACAAATTAAAAGCAGCTTTTAAATCAATCTTTGATAAACACCTGCAACCCTGTAAATTGTTAAGTAATTGAGATACCAGTGGTAAAGGATAAGAATCTTGAATGGTCATCCCATTCAAGATTCTATAATCCACACAAGGACGATCCGCCTTGCCGGCCACCTTAACGTAAAAAATCGGTGCTGCTGCAGGAGACGAAGATACTCGAATAAAACCTTTCTGAACATTCTCGTCAATATATATCTTCAATTGGTCCCTCTCTCCTTTACTTAAATTATACATCTTACCAAAAGGTGGAACCAATCCTACTTTCAAATTTACCTCACAATCAAACCCTTTTCGATTGGGAGGCAACTCAGACAAAGGCTCAGTTACAAAAACTTCCTTGTATTCATTAAATAACAAAGAGAAATCAGGATTATCTACAAAAGAAATATCATGCAAACACGTTCTGATAACAACATCGTTTTCAGTTCCTCCCACATAAGTATCCGAATCCTTTAACCACGAGCTGCCTAAAATAACATCTGAAGAAGAAATACGAGTGATGTGAAGAACAACATGAGAGAAAAATTTTGAGCCATCAACCGTGGGAATTAGGAGTTTCCCTTTTATGTATTCTATAACCTGTCCTGATGACACCAATGATCCATCGAACGATCGACACTGCATTGGATTGGATAATGTGAATTTTTGCAAAGAATGATTCCTAACAAAAGCATCGTCAATAAAATAAGATGTTGCACCCGAATCCACCAACACAGAACACTTGGTCAGCTCCAATTCATCTTTAAATAAAGATGAATTGAAAAAAGGCCGATTATCTGAATTCCTAGCAGTCTTAACATAAACAAAAGGCTTACATTCATCATACTGAGCTTCCGCCAACTGACGTTCAAAGAACAACTCTCCTAACGTCATAGGCTCCATATCAACTGTATCAACCACACCATGACTAGTGGACGCCATCGGGGAGTTAGACTGTTGGTTGTTCAATGCACGTTTCGGCAGATGATCGGACGCATCATCTGAAATCGACTGTTGCTTCTTGCCCTTATTAACCGAATGATGTTGAGGAACGGTCGGTTGAGACGGTTGAGACGAAGGGTAACGACCCGTCGAAGAAGCCCATCAATCAATAGCCGAGATGGATTGTGATCCTCGCGAAGACTGGCCTTCGATTCCGTCCGATCCACCCCAATCCCTCCAAATGCTCAAAATTTGAGGCTTAGACAATTGAGAATTTCGTTCCACCGGGGATCGACGAGCATCCGAATGAGCCGAATCGTATCGCCCACCGCAACGGTGACAAATATGTTGAAGAACGCACTCATGACGATAAGCGTCGTAAGTGGAACCCAGCTCAGCGGCAATAGCATCGATATCCATCGGAACTCCATCCAAGAGTCTGGGAGGTGCTTTGGAAGAATCAGGCTTGGGCGGAAGTTGAATTTTCTGAACAATAGGTTGAGGTTTCTGACTCAAGCGATCTATCATCGCCACACCCGGAACATCAGCCGCCAATTCTACAGCCATTGCCTGCTTTTTCGCCAAGTCTGTCACCCCGTTCCAACCACCTCGCAACAACCCAAGTTGAACAATCTTTGGATTGATGGCTTCGTCATACAAGTCGCATTTCGATGCTTCGGAGAGGTCGACCGCATAGAGCAAAGAATTGAACGAGACGTTGAATTCTTCGATCGACGTGTTGCCTTGCTTCATCACACGTAACGATTTCCGAGCCTCTTCTTCACCCTTGTGATTTGAAAACGTCGTTTCGATAGCGACCAAAAAAGCCTCCCCCGATAACAACTCTTCTAACAGAAACGCTGCTTTAGACGACGCGGTGTTCGGATCCAGGTTTTGATGATGAGCGTTCTTCGCCATTAGACCACGCCACCAAACGTATGAAGCGCAATAGTCGCCCAGCTTCCCATCCGGCTTGCGAAAATACCCAGCGATCCACATTACTTTATGTTTTTCACTATGAAGATTATCACCATGCATCTCTAAAGAATGCCTCATAGCAAAACAAAATTCCTTAGTTTCTGACAAAACTCCAGAAAAATAAATGTGAGAGAGATAGGGTGGATCTCGAAAAGACTTAGGCTGAATAGGCGGGTGTGTGATAGACTGAGAAACAAAGCCCTCCACACTATCCAAACGCGAAGCGGTAGAATTGTTCACAGAGTCGATAGCATTTCGCACCTGAAGGAATTGATCACTTGAATCGGTCTTGACCTTCATGAATTGGGAGCTGAGAGGTAGAAGCGACTTCAAGTCATCGAAAAGCTTGAGATAACGGCGTTGTTGAATTTCTAAATCAGCAATCTTTTGAGCATGCGAAAGAATTGTATCATTCAAGGATTGATTTTCGATACCCAAATGAGAAATTAAACTTGAAACACCATCATCACGGGCCGTTGCCGGAATAACAGTCGGCAAATCCGGAACAGGAAGATAAGGTAACGCCGCAGCCAAAAGCGTGGGTGACATAGGTGGAATAGGTCGAGGATCAAAATCGTTAGGTTGTGGTGATAACGGGGGTAGTGATGGTGAAGGGGAAAGATAATTTGGTCGAGGCGATAAAAAATGAGTCGGTGGAGTTGGAGTTGGAGAAGGGAGCCTCATTCGAGTAGAGAGCAATGGGGACGAAGAGTCTGACATAGTGATGATATCGAAAATCGATTGTTGAAGGGTGAGAAAAAAAATTTTTTGATCGACGAAGATCGAGAGAATGTCGGAAAGGAAATGGATTGATAAAAACCGTCGACGAAGATCGAGAGAATGTCGGAAAGGAAATGGATTGATGGAAAACCGAGAGAATATCGGAAAGGAAATGGATTGATGAAAGTCGATTTTTAAATTTTGTAGGTCGCGATATAACTGTGAGGGTCGGCCTACTACTTCCTAGATCAGAGATCTCCAGTGACTGTGAAGTTACTCAAGAGAGTAACTCGCCTAGGTAAGAATATAGTAGTCGAATGTTTTCTCAATAACTCTAATGGAGTTTGTTTTTAATCGATGATTTAGACAAGATTGATGATTTATTACTATAGGTAATGTAAATCTAAATGATGATGATGATAAGAAATATTGCGATGAAGAAAGAGAAAGAACAGAGAGAGGAAGAACAAGCATCAGACTATATGAACTCAAAGCACAGACCCGATGACGACAACAAAACTTCACAGATGACATCATCTGCAAGAAGATTACATAAACAATACTGATTATGTCATCTTATAATCTAAATAAGATATATACTATACGTCATCAAGTAACTTTTCGATAGATAATTATATAAATCTTACCAATACTTTAAGTTACGGATCAGTCATGACAATGGGGTGCTATGTAACTTTAATGGCCGGCCGGGAGGAATTCTCCCGGAAGCCCACAGGGCGCAGGTATCATATCACGCAGATCACGCCCTATCACGCCAGTAGAAAACTAACTTAACGCAAGTCCCTCCCTGTGCTCGCGGGGCGCGAGCACCCTCCCGCAAGCTCCTACGGAGAGCGTCCCGCAGGGACGCGAGGGGGGTCGGTCCCCCGACTCCCCCTCCGTTCGAGAGGCTTAGTCAAGCTAGAGTAGAAAATCGCGCCAATCGCGCCATCACACCCTGACCCAACTAAAAATCAGGCTGTACAAGTACAGTACCTCTGACATGCTTGGTTGCATCTTGGTTTCCACCCTACACCACGGGTGCACTTGGGTGTCCTAGGGACATCACACAAAAATACGTCCTAGGTGTGTTCCACATCCACTTAAAACAGAGATCCACGTCACAACAGCCTCACAACGAGGCTATTGTGATGCCTTTTTAGGACCTGGGACGGCCTTGGGACAATGCCATCCCATGGCTGGACCCGAAATCCCCAATTGCACCCGCGGTGTACAATATACATATGTAGATGTCAACAACAGGCGAACTTAGTAAGAAACAAAACAAAACAAAATTTATTTCTTTCAAATTATCTACAGACTTCTCAGAAATGAAATCGCCTATGGATCTTATTTTCTTATTTCTATTTTCTAAACCAATAATATTTAGAAAATAGAAATAAGAAAATAAGGCCCGGATTATAAACGGTTTTTTGAAATATATTCAAAAGTTTTCGAAGTATTCCAACTTCTTCTTCTTTTTTTTTTTTTTCAAAAACCCACTCAAAAAATTTCAAACCAGCTCCGGAGGTGGTTTGAGATCTCAAAAACTGCATTTTAGAAATCAATACAGAAGTTGGGTGGGTATTGGATGACTTCCTGTCAACATCTGGGGGTCTCCCAGTTTCAATTTAGAGCTTCGAAAGCTAGATTTCCCTGCAAAAATCTAGACTTTTTGGGTCTAAATCGAAAACTGTGAGGGTCCCAGATCCGACGGGAAGTCCACCATTGGGTTGTATGGTATCAAGTCATACAGACTGGCCAATTGTAAAACTCACAACACGTATGACACCTCGGACTGTCATTGTCTGCCAAAATTTTCACACCCATTTGGCACCCAACGGAAGACGTACGGAATATGCAATCTCAAGAGCAATCAACCGGTAACCTCCTCAGCAAGGACGGACTACTCCAGCACTCATATTGGCCTCTCACTAACTTGAGCTTCCGCTGGGACAGCCGGACAAATGGGATGGGCCGCCATGTGCAAGAAGGCGCAAGAATGAATTTTCCCGCATGATAATTCCTCGGAACCATGACAACCAAAAAAATGAAAAAAATCTTCTGCAAGTGCATACTACTCATTTGGGCTTTTCCAACTTTGCCGCTGGGCCGGCGGGTGGGTGCACCTTGGATGAGTTTGGTACAAGGACCCACCCGCTGGGCTGGATTCCACCTTGGCAGACGGCTTGTAACTTCTAGCTAAGGACACTTTCTCCCAAGAGAGCATCCACAAGCGCCCGCTTTGTGGCTGCTTGTTTGGGAGGAAGCTTCCTTCTCCTTGGCCTTTACATGCTCGCTGAGGAAGATTCCTACTCGGGGAGCAGTTACAAGGTGTACCCATTCACCGAGCACTAGCAGGCTCCTTGGTGAGCAGGACTTGTAAAGTAATGGCCGGGGAGAGCTCCTCCCCAGTGAGTAGGAAATGGCCGCAGAGGAGTCCAACTTGGCAATGGGTGATTCCCATGGAGTAGTTCTCCTCGGCAAACAGGTACAACCTGTACAAGATGATCTCAAAATTTCCAAGAGTGTGCATTACATTTCAGATTATGGGTGCTTGGGTCAATCTTTACTCAAGACAACTATCATGCGGGACGTTTTGATTGCCGGCAAGAAGGCCAGGGCCAACAGATGAGATCGTTGGCCAATACAGACAGATTTCCGCAAGGGCACAGAAGTGGTGGGACACTCGCATCATCAACTCCCCCCTTGGTCAATCCTTTGAATCTTGGGCTGCCCCTGATTCCCTCATCCTCAAACACAAGCGGCCCCTGCCTGAATCCCTTCCTAGCATCAGCGGCCACATGCAAGATTATAGATGTCTTCTTCGACTTGCAAGCAGAACCACACTCGCGCGGAGATTGATACCAACAAAGCTATCACGGCGTCCAAGAAGGCGGAGAAGGCCCAAAAGGCCACGCAGAAGTTGGAGGCTCAAAGGCAGAAGCGGTCTGCCAAGGAGGCCCGCACGGCGTTGAAGGGTTTGGCTGCAACAACTCCAACACCAAGATTAAGATCCATAGGCGATTCCATTTCTGAGAAGTCTGTAGATAATTTGAAAGAAATTTGTTTTTTTGTTTCTTCCTGAGTTTGTCTGTTGATGACAATAGAATTCACCCGCACCGGACATCAGCTGGCAATGTCAGAACCATATCACATCAATGTCCCCCACCCCCCATCATGCCAAGATGGTTACACATCTTTCGTTAACCAGAACCACCAGTTCCAAACTGGTACATATTTAATTGAGGGTAGCGGTTGCCGCTCGCTGCTCATGAGTCGTGAGGAGTCAAACTCAGGCCGGGAAGCTCTGCAAACAAAAAACTTCAAAAAAAAAAAGACTTATACATTTAATTTTTTTTACATTCTATTTCCTGGTTGTTTTTCTATCCTTGTAACATTCTAAGCTCTTTCCTTTATAAAATCAATAATTATCTAGTTACAGATCAAAATATATGCTACAAAATTGTTACCTTATGTCAAACTTTTCTCTCTAACAATCCAGAACTAGAATTACTTGTTCTTGCCTTTTTCCTTCAGGTTTCTACTATAGATGGTGCTGTATTTTCCTTGAGAGACTTATTTTGTGATTTTTCTCTACTATTCTGAAAGTATACACAATTTAAATGTAGTACATGTAGTAAAAAACTAGGTTTTAAGTAAAGCCAAATAAGTCTCAAAGTTTCAGAGTTCCAAAGTCTTGAATTCTTTACATGAGGGTTATGCCAATGGGTGATGCAGTTATGTACTCCGTTTGATTAGTTACTCTGTTTCATTAGTTCGTCCGTTTGATGAAGCTTTCTCCACTTTTTGTCAAAGGAAAGATTGTGAGGGCTTGCCTACATATTACTATCTTTTCATGAGTGACTATAAGTAAATCCAAGAGTAGTTACTGTCTATTTTACAAGAGAATAGGGGTGATTTATCTTAAGAAAGATAAATCCGTGAAGTGATGATTAAGATTTGAGATAGGTGTTTTAATTGTAATACTCTCTATAGTAATGATGATAAAGAACAAGAATATCTCAATGAGAAAAGGAAAAGAAAAAGGGGAAGAAAACAACTGATAAACCAATATATATAACAAGGATTATGAAAACAACCAACCAATAATCCAATAAAATCAGTAATAAAAGAAAAATTAACACAGACATGAGACAGGAAAAAGTGAAACTTGTTTTCCAAACACATCATCCTTTGGAAGTAGCCCTCTAGCTGATCCTTTGACAAACTTTGGATAAGTCTTTGGATGGATTTCACAAAATGTCCCTTTGGCTCAAGAAATCTACATTCAGAGCATCCAAATTGGTGTGCAGATTAGGCAGGATTAGCTGCCTAATCTAATCCTCCCAACCACACTTGTTGGGATTAGAGATTGGATTAAAATAGCTCCAGAGCCAAATCTGGAGTTAGCCGGTATTAAATTGATACCTTGCTAATCCTCACTAATCCGTTCAACCAATGCGGATGCTCTAAGTGAATTTAATGATAATCCATATCTGTTCATGCATTGATGAACTGGGTGGGTTTGTTTTGATTTTACATTGATTAGCTGAAGGTTGATTTCTGAGAGAGCTCTTCTAGTGGACAAGGACCTCAACTGAAATCTGGGATCATTGCTGACCCATGACTGTTTAAATGACAATGTCACCCCTAATATTTCTCTTATTTAACGGAGCTGATTTTGGTTCAGATAATCCTTTCTTTCATCATTCTCACCAGTGCAATGAAAATCATCTTCATAACCACACACTTGTCCCATTTGCCTTGCCCTTCAGTTGTCAGCTTGCTACTATTACAGAGTCAAGCTGACCTGCAATATTTCCATAAGTAACTCAAGATAATAAGTAATAAACTTAATAATCAAATAATATTACAAAAAGAATGACATAAAATGTCCTTTACAGAAACAAGTGACATATTGAAATACATCAACATGAAAGGAGACTGTGACATGAGATGAGCAGATTTCCCCTGTGAAAGCTCCTGGGAAATTATACATCATCCCAGTTTCTCAGAGATGACCGGTGAGGGCAACTTCCCTTTCCCTTTCCAGTTTTGGTTACTGGTACCTACAGTATAAAACAAACCAGTAAACAAGGTAGCTAGGGATCATCAGTTTACCAGTTTAGTAGTTTTCCCCTTCCTTTTTCAGTTTACCTCTTTTTCCAAATATCATTCCACTACCCAGCACACCCCACTCAGAGCACCACAGATCCACCCTGTAAGTTTTGCCCTTGAGTGCCAGGATTTCTTGCTGGGGAGTACCTTTAGTGGTTATTCCTCTGTCCATCACTCAGATACACAGACCAAATACCCTTGACTCCGCTCAAGACCCCGTAGAAGCCAATACCGGTCTCTGTTATATCAGACCAGGCTTGTATCCCTGAGGGCACCGTAAAAACCCCCACAACCTGGGCCCCTCGGTTCCTTTCCTCCTTATCCATCCAATTATATCTAGTCTTCATTCCCTACCAAACCAGCCTTATCAGCCGGTGTGGATAGAAGGCCTTTGGTCTTGGCATCACCCCGCCTGACATCAGTCATGTCTTACTGCTGTGATGGGGAACAGCCAATCTGTGGATCTGTTTTCATAAAATTGGATTTGTGGTGAGGACAAAAAATGTTTTGTCCAGTAGTGAGCATGTACAGCCCCTTGACAGAAACAATGGAAAACTTGAATCGGAGTCTAGAGGGCAAAGTAATGGACTGCAATTTATGGTTCCTGGTGAAACTGTGTAAAATGAGTTGCAAGGAATGATTCTGAAAAGTTCAATAGAAAAAAGTTTTGTAAAGTTTTTTTCATTTTTTTACTTTCTTTTGGTATTTTTCAATCATTTTTCAAAGTAGCTGACAAAATCAACATCAGCACAATTGCATGCAAAAAGAATGATTATAAATTAAAAATTGAAAAAAATAATGATATAAAGTTTAGAGAGCAGAAGAAACTGGACTGAGATTGGAATTAAATTTTATTTCAGTGCCTGATTGTAGGGTTGGTCTGGTGGATGCCACAATCCAAACCTGCTTGAAACCATTGGTTGATTAATTTTCTTCAATATTTCATTCATAATAATTTGTTTTGCATGCAACTGTTTGATTTTTTGAGCTACTTTGAAAAATGATTGGAAAATACCAAAAAGGGGCTTGGTTAAACGACTCCCAAAAAGTGGAGAGCCGACTCCCAAGCCCTGGAATCCACAAATTTTAGGAGTTGAACCCCCAAAACCTTTGACTGGTTTGGGAGTCAACTCCCAAAAAACAAATATTTAAAAAAAAAAAACATCCCCCGGTCGGTTTGGGAGTCGATCCTCCAAAACTGACCAGGGTTTGGCGGTCAAAGAAGCAAAAGACCCATGGAAGTGGCCGGGAGGATTCTTCCCGGCGCTGGGAGTACACTCGCAACGGCCGAGGGAAAACACCTCGGC